CAACTCATCTGGTGTCTGATGTTTTGCTAAACCGTTATAACAAATTTCCAACTGTTTTAGAACCATTTTAATATCGGGTTGCTCTAAAATTTTTAAAAATTCGTAATTACTGGCATCATAATCCAGAGTTGGTGCAATCAAACCAACTAGATTTTTATACTTTTTACAATAACAATTTCTAAGTCTCGAAAAGATATAACGCCCAGAATTATCAATAGTAGGGATCCATTCATTTCGTAAAATAGCATACATAAATTCATAACTATTATCATTCAATTGATCCCATCTTTCGTCAAGATATTTAAATAGGTTCAACGCTTTGGTACGAATTAAATCATCATCAATTGCAGGATTTTGAACTCTTGTTACGATCGTGTTAATTCGAGAAATTATATCATTAGGAGAAAGAATTGATTTCATTCCCAATAATTTCAAACTTGAGAAATATCTAGGGTCGCCGTATTTGCCGGTAGGAAAGACATGTTCGTCCTCAAAAAATAGACTGATTATTGTTTCATCTTCCGGATCAAATAGTTCTGTTGGGTTTGCCAACTTTATGTTTGAAGAAATAAGTTTTTGCTGTGACATTTCAAGTGTACCAACAGGTATGAAAGAAGTCTCTCCAAGGGAATCCTTCAATTCATTAAGTAGGGATGGTGATTTATCAAAAAGTAGTTTGTCAATTATAATGTCAATGTTCCTTTGTGGTTGTGACTTGAGAAACGGTATAACATAATTTTGCCAGTAGTTGTATGAATCCAATCGAGGAACTTTAATAATATCTTCCAATATATAACGCAAATTTGGTGAAGCCGAATTAAGAAATTTTCCTCTTTCACTTGGATAGATGATTTCGCCATATGAATTATTTTCACCATAAGGAAGAAGATACCAATTTTGATTTCCGATTAACGAAATTGATGTAGCATTGCCAACTTCGGAAAAAATTGGTAAATGCTTGATAACATCGATAACATTTGACGCATCATTAGCAACAAATCGTAAATAGTTGGATAAATATTCAACGAGAATCGATATTTCACGAGGCTGTAACACACGATTTAAATTACTTGGATATGAGGTATCGGCTTGGAAAGAACCAAGAACCGATATGATATCATCAGGTTTAATGATATATGAAGATACTCTGTGAAGTGAAATGCAAGGTAGAAAAGGCGATTAATTTATTTAACCAAAAGACGTTATTCACGTATAAAAAAATTAAAAAAAAAAAATAACTCACTTATCACATTTAGCAATTTCTTCAAATTGATTGTCAACAAATACGGCACCAAATTTTTCGAAAATAACTTTCAAAGATGGTGTGATTGAAATATTATTCGTTTGATTGGATAAAATTTTTTTCGGAGGATTTAATTTCCTAAGAGTAGAGCGACTTGTCGGGATTAAATGGATATTTTCAAACTTTTTCAAATCCCAATTTCTATTTATCAAGTAATCCCACAATTTATGAATCCATACACTATGATTTGATATTTGCATCTCCTCAAGGAATGGATTTACTGGATCAAGTGTGAATCTAATCATATTGGCAATGGCATATTCATCCAAGATTTTAATGTTTAGATTCCACCCATCTATAGCAAGTTCACGCAAACGATTACACAACCCGTGATTATCCCTTGAAATGAATTTGTCTAATTGATCTTTAAAGATATGGTGCTCAACATTTTTTTCATAATCATCATCTGGACTAACGTATACAATAGAATCGCTAAATCGTGACAAAGTACCAAGTTTACCACTCTCGAGTGGAATTATTTTTAAACCTTCCATTTCATCAAAATTTTCGTTCATTATTAACACGTACTTAAATAATGCTATGGCTTCTTCTTTTGACAGTTGATCTTGCCATCTATCACGATTATGCTTTAAATAAATACGACCAATGGCAGGAGACAAAACTTTAAGAAAGTCTTTATGTATGGAATTGTTTAATGCATCAATGATTTCGTTTGGAACCGATATTATCGGAAAACCAACATCTCCAAAGATTTTAAGTAAATTTGACATATCTTCTAAATGTAAGTTATCTTTCAAATAACCAATAGAAAGTGATAACCAATGAAATCCGGATTCTTTAAATGAGGATGCATCATATGAATTTTTTAAATTCTCGGGTACTTTTCCGATGGTATTTGATAATGACGGTCCTTTAAATACACGATCCTTCACACCAAGTACTTTTATAACATTTTGTAATAATTTCTGGCAAAAAGTGATTACGCTACTTGATGCACCTTTTTTAATTATTGGCCAGAATTGATATACATCATCCGACTGAATATTAGGAACCTTATGTGGAAGTTCACAAAGTAACCTTACCCAAGCTTTAGGTAAAACATTTTCAAATAAATATTGATTCCATGAAATCATTAAATGTGCTAATGCATCAACCGCCTTTAAAATGGTGTGATGTTCAAGCGTTAATAAATCTATCCTTTGATTTGCTTAAAATTTACATTAAATTAGAAAATTCATTTACCAATTCATCATCATCTTGAGAACACCATAAAGAACGTCGATTAGTACTAACCTGTCCAACAAATTAAAAAAAAAAAAGATAAATATTAAAAAATAATTTTAAAATCATAGACCATTTGATTCTTACCGCGAAATATCCATGTACCGAAACAGGAAAGGGCATATGTATGGGGAATGGTAAAAAGCAAAATAGTCTTCCTAGAATATTTAAATCATTTAATGGAACGGCCAATCCAACGTTTGGAATAAACTTGTGGTTCCTGATATTCTTTCCAAAATTCTTCTGAAAGTATTCCTCGGTTTCTTGCAAGTCATTAAGATAATTCAAAATTATCCAAGAGACCGTATCCTCCTTAAAACTCCCCTTCTGACGACAGAATGATGCAATATAAGAAGATTCTAATTGACTATTGCAACCTAGATTCTTCGATTTTAATAAATCCATCATCGGAACGATGTTTTCTGCTAATAAACGACGTTGTTCTCGCACTGAGTTCGCATTTTCCAACTGAATAGAATATAATAATTCAGGTTCTGTGGCACCTTCCTTCAATTCGTAAAAAGAAATCCGTTCAACATATTTTAAAAATAGCAAGCAATTAATGCTTTCATTTTCATAAAATTTACGAAAGATTTCCAAGATGTCTTTAGGTTTAAAAGTTTTTTTGGAAATATCAGAAATCGTATCATTACGGAGAGGATAACGAAATAAAGTTCCTTTAAATGGTTCATCACATGGGATACTAAAAGGAGGAATTCTAAAGGGAGCAAAAGAATCAGGAAATTTTTCGGCTAAATTCTTTTGGACAAAGTTGAATTGGATACCACCATTAAAATACCATCTATGTGGATCAAGAATGACGAGTTTATCACCAGTAATAAAAGAAGGGGAATCGGTAATATGATAAATCGAATTAAAACCGATACCCATCACTAAAATAACAATAGTATTTTTTATTCGAATATTTAAATGAAAGTGAAAAGTACTTTTTAGATCAAAATTACTTTAAAGAAAAATTTACCTCCGATTTTATTAAATTGATCACGTTTTTCGCTATTGGCCAAATTTTTCAAGGATCGCAAATCCCTTTCATCAAACATGGAATTATTCTTTGATAATAAGGCAGAACCTTGATACCTATCAAGTTTCAAATCGAACTTTTTATAATTACTCAAAATAGGATCGATTAAATGATTCGAGGGATAAGTATTATGATCCAACATGAAGATTTGTTCGGTGCTCTTCGCATCATCAGAATTTTGAAGAATTTCACGAAGAATTTGAGAACCTTCAGGATATTCGTCAAGGATACTGCTTAGACGGCGAGTATAAGGTTCTTGTGGATCAAATTCTTCACCGATTTCTTGCATCATTGCTAAATTTTAAAATATCAAGAAGGAAGTGTTTATCATGTTAAAAAACTTGAACATAACTATTTATAATAAATTTAGGGAGTCAAGGTTACAAAATTAAATCCGGAATTTCATTATACTATTTATGATTTGTGCGTCCAAACAAGATTAAAACCAAAGGCTTTCAAAAATTTTAAAAAGGAAAAATACGAAATTAATAGTGGTGCAAAGAAACGTGTGATAAGACACAACATAACTTTGTTACGACCTTTGTTGTGAAACAAAGTTAACGCAAATGTCGATCATGGAGTTTCGGTCCGAAAAAAAATAGCTTGATTTGGTTTTTGGTTTTTTGTATTACAAAAAAAAATAATAAAACGACGACGTAATCGGTTTTTAATGTAAAGGAATTTTTTGCAGTAAATTTCTTTGTAAATTGATGTTATATTGCTTTTTTCTGAGATCTCTCAATTCGTTATTTCGTCATGTCGTGTTGTGTGAAGTCATTTTTTCTGACCTCTTAATCTTGGCATCAAGATGACATTAAAGCCCTCAAGATTGTCTTATACTTCCCATTCATAAATTAAGACGGCGCATGACGGCGCAGCAAGTAGTCTCCGTTGAAATTATTTTTAATCGGTCGGTTTAAAATTATTAAAACTCAAAGTACTTATTAATATGACATAAAATAGGAATGGTTATTTCATTATATCATTCAAACATAATATATTATATACAAATACAAATTTAAAAAAAATATATAATATTTTAATTGAAAATAATTTCGATAAATAAAATAAAACAAAATAAAAAAATGTATACTGTACTGTATATTTAACCAGATTCCGTTTGGAAACCATTTTTTTTTAAAAAAAAAAAAAAAAAATATCTTCGATATTCAATATCGCTCAAGTTTATTTTAAATTTTCAAACGGATGCCCTAATTCAAAATACTCACAGCCACCCATCAAAGCTAATAAAATTTGCAGGTTCCAAATGAAATTTTCATTGCTTCTGTAATTAAAGTCCAGGTATAAATAAAAATTTGTTCGGCCAAAAAAAATTTATGATTTTTTTTTTTATTATTTAAATGTATTCATCGATACATTTTCCTCGTCGTTGATGTAAGAAAGGTTTATTCAACGTATATATGAAAAAAATTTTAATACAATGCTGGATCAAATATCCACTTAACTTACTAAAAAATTTTCTTTTGTTATATTATCATACACCATTTATAAAAACACGTAAAAGGTTAAATAAAATTTAATTTTGAATTTTCAAATTTACGAATGGCGCAGTAAAATGTAACGAACTTACAAATTTTAAATTTAAAACTTATCAATCATATGTTTCGTACCGTATACGCCTGACCTTAGACTAGACATTGCTGCTCTGGCTTTAACGCAAATGTGAATTCATAAAAAACAAAAGAATTAAGCTTCATGCTTTTATTTCTTATTACTATCAGACTTTGTTATAATTTTTAAGAAAAAAAGTTTTTAAAAAAAAAAATTTCAACCAAAATTATCTTGTATATTAAATTTTAATTAAAATAACTTATTCGCAAGTTTGTGTGTGGTGACAATATAATTTGGAAAATTTTTTTTATTTTTATTGGATAAAAACAAACAATTTATTTTTATTTTTCGTCTTTAATGAATTTTTTTTTGTGAGATTTATAATATTTTTGCAAGCAGTATTGGGATCATTGAGGACATTAACGTGCTCAACAAAAATTACTATTTGGGTTTAATTTATTTTTAATTTTTTTTTTTAATAAAATAACATTTTTATATTATCGATACTAAAAATTGCATTCACATTTGATCTATTCTATTATTAACATTGAAATTGTTTTCTTTCACAATTGGGATTATGGGTTATATTCCAACCAGTCTTCGTAGTATTAGTTGAACATATATCAAAGGTATCTCGAAGAAACTTAAGTTCATTTATTTGTCCATCTGACGCAGCTATTATACATTTATCATCTCCGATTGTTGGACAATTACAAGATTGTCCGCAAAATGAAGGTTTTGGATCACATATTTCAACATTAAACTTTTGTAAGATATTGCTTATTATTGATGCTGCCATATGGTTATATGTATTGGTTTTAATAGTATTATATAATTCATCATCATTGCCAAGTATTTTAAAATAATCCACCTTTTGATGAATAGTAAAACTAGATAATATTGACTTGTTTGCAGCAAAGAAATTATTGTGTAATGTATCTTCAAAATGAAATTGGAGATGTTCACTTGCGGCTGATAAATATGATGAAATATCTGTATAGGTTTGCCCGTTGCCGCTAAGTGATTGTTCAACATTGTCCATTAAACTTGGAAGAACGTACCTATTCACCATGTTAACCGTAAAAAATCCTATATTATCCATCACTTTCGTATCCCCCGTATCCCTCTTTTCTATTGGGGGTGATCCCGAACCCTTACTCAAAGTTTCAAGGGTTTGTTGAATATTAGGGTTTTCTGATTCTCGATAGTATGTCGACATTTCCCTCATTGCAGAAGATTCGCACAATTCTATGTTATCGGAGCAACCAACTTCATCAACTAATACGTTTTCGAATCTGTCTAAATTGGTTGGACTTTCCGCAAATTCTATCCAATTTTCTGCTTCAGTCATTTCTATTCCTTCTGCTTCTCCAAATTCTATAGCATCCATTGCAGCAGCAGATTCGGCAGCGATTAAGCTGATTTCTGAGGATTCGCCGGTGCCAAATACTGCAACTATCGCTCCATCTATTACACCCGCTCCACCTCCACCTATTACACCTACACCGAACACTAAATATGATCCAGCAGCATAAAGACCAAGTATAGCAATGGAAACAACTGCAGTAATTATAAGCCATTTTAAATATTTTTTTTTATGTTTAGGCTGTGGCGGCGGTGGTGGGATCAATTCTTTTAGATTATCGGGAGTCATTTTAACACTTAGTTCAGTAAGGGCATCATGGAACCCTCGATGGTGATTCTCCCAATAATTGAATACCTTGTTTGCCGAATTAATCATGTGATATGTAGCAACAGGATAACCATCAGGACTGAACGAGCTGCCTGAACCGAACTGAAGGGATGCAGCGTATGTTCCAACTTCATTACCAGTCAAATAA